ATTCCCTACTTTGAATAACTGCCCTTCGCTAGCTGTCTGAAAACAGAATAAAAGGCTTCCCTTTGAGCCATCTCTCAAAAAGAAATAGAACACTTGTTTGTATGCATATGAGTATATTTTCTTGTTAAATATATATATATATATATTCACAAATTTGTATGAAATGTTTTTGAAACTACATTTTAAGATAGACCACTAGTTAGTTCAAGAGGTCCTTATTATCCTAGGATAATAGATCATTATTTAAAATGGGAACCAAAATTTCATGGTAAATAAAAGATTAGATTGGGACTTTAAGTTGAGGAAATGAAACTAAAATTACAAAAATAAGTTTATGTTATAGGTAACACAATTTAGATTATAGTAGCAACTATATGCTATTTCTTAGGAGATAAAATTGTTATCTTTTTAGGCGGAGGGGCAGTTTTTACAGTAACATTGTAGGCCAGGTCAGTGAATGGCTTTCACAATAAAAAAAATGAGTCATTAAAAAGTATGCAAGAGGCTTTGTCAGTTTTCTCTTCATTTTTGTATGCTTCCGTCTTTCTTCATCCTTGTCAGTTTTTTATTGTTATAACTCTATCAGATCATTTATCAATGTCTTTGCCTATGATTTTCCCTGAAAGACTTTGACACACTGGGTGGGGATAAAAACTTTTTAAAAGAGAGGAATGTTCGAGTGATGGCATTTTTATCTGAGATCACTTTGTTAGTTAATCTTTTCTTGTTTTGATGACTTTTGCTTCTTTATACATCATCATAAATGTGGATTCTCAGATAATGAATTCTTAATGATTCCCTGAAGGATACTATTATAAATTTGTCTATTCATGTAAGTTCCCACAGAGAAACATTAACTAATAAACACCTAACCAACCAGAAGTCTCCATAGAATTAGTTCTATTCAGTATTCGGTTTTTCGGAGAAGAGAAAAATGACCACAAACCAAAAAGATAGCAGAGATTATTTAGCAAAAATGTACTTTTGAGACTCTGTACAATGATAAATTTAGCCTATAACTCCAGTCTTGTACAGTGAGATTTGATGTTCAGATGATAATCTATCACTATTGGATCATCATTCTCACACACACAGACAAATGACTGCCACCCTCAGTTTACTAATAACCAAGAGCACTGATTTAGGCTAGATAGCTTTGGACCAGCAAGAACTAAAAACATTGTTTAGCGTTTACTTGAGATCCCGAGGCTTAGAATTTATTTTTGACATGCATTTAGATCCTCTGATGTGACAACACCTTTTGTTTCTTTGGACTTTTCAGTCTTTCTCTGAATGTACAGGTGATGGGTGAGGAGGGATCCTCCCTCCTCGTCACTGGGCCTCGGCACATAACAAAGAGGCTGACTCTCAGGGAGCTGTGTGGCAGTTTTCAATTAACGTGGAATTTAGGTTGTGTCTCTGCTGTTACTTCAAATAAAACGCTTGCATTCAACATCCTGCTGCTGTTTATGTTTTCTATAGGTATTTAGTTTTCCCTTGGAGTGGACATATTCATTCTTTTTAATCATGAGAAATTATTTAATTGATCATCCATTCTTTCCTCCAATTTATTTCATTTTTATTTTTACCCAGACACTTCAAAGCTCTATTCTGATCTCTGGATCAAGGGAACTCTGGTCTCTTGTTTTACCTAATGGAACAAAACAAGAGTTCATAATCTGTGGTCCTTAAATTCAAGAACTTGATTTCTCTGTAAGAGAGGCCTTGAAACACACGTTCCAACCCCTTGGTTAAACAGAGAATTCAATTGACTAAACTGGAGCATTCTGACTAGTCCTGTTTTCACCTCCCTTGCTTTAATGTCCAAAATAGATCTCTTTCAAACTTCAGGGATTCTTCTAGGATTTGGTGAACATTTTGCACCTTTCATGATTTAATAAATTTCCGTTGTGCTTTTTCCCTGGACTTTGTGTCTGAAGATTTAAGTGCTGTCATCTCTTTTGGTATCTATGACAGCACCACTATCCAAATCTTCCTGGCCACGTGAATTGCCCTTCTGTTGATGTTCCTCCTTCAGTCAGGACAACCAGACTCAAACATGGTACTTTTTTGATTTTGTACAAGGACGGATTGACTTTTTTCCCCTCCAGTGTACCTGTTTAAAGTTCCATCTTGGTGGTGGTGGTAGGGCTCTTTGGCTATACAAGAATGTCAGGGTTGTGATTTCATAAAGTAGGTTACAGCTATTTCTGGATTTCTTTTCCAAGCCCACAGTTCTTTAAAAATAGAGTTACAATAGAGTTTCGGCTCATCTTTAGGTTTTTCTGTTTTCATCACTTATCTTTGCATTTCTTTAGCTCCTGTGATCTTTCTTCTTAAAAACTGTTTTCTTCTACTTTAGCGAATCTCTCTTCTTGATGTTTAGATATGTTAACTTGTCCTGCCGGTAAGCTTAGAAGTAGGTTTCTTTGTTTGTTTGTTTGTTTGTTTGTTTGTTTGTTTTTTTACTAAATGGCCTTTTTCTACCCTCCATTCAGTCACCACTCAGTAGGATTTATACAGCTTTGTCAAAGTCGAGGCTCATCCTAAGCTC